AGGGCGGCGATGCCTCCGTCCTGATTGCGTGCCTGCGACACCATCATGTCCACGGCGAAGCGCAAGCGATTCTGTGGTATCATCCAGCGTGGCATGGCCTCCACATCCGAGTCATCTGAGTGTCATTCGATTTATGCAAATTGTGCAACAGCAGCAAATGGAAGACATCAACTTACCCTCGCTGTTTGGACTGTCCAGGGACATGTCACTGCTGGGGCGCAAGGGGCTAAAATCGCTTTCGGTGCCATCATCCAGCACTATGTCCTCACCACCCACATTGGAGGAGCTGCCAGCTGCAGAGGGTCCAGGAATCTCCTCTGCGGACGGTCCAAAGAAGTTTTCGATCATGGCCGCTTCCATTTCGGCCGTCTCCTCGTAGACATCTATGACCCTCTCCACAGTCTGTAGCTCATCACTCGGCTGCAGTTCTGCTGCTGCCGCTGCAGCTGCCTCTGCCTGCAGTTCCGCCCCACTCGAGGCTGCTACGGCCCCCGCAGAGTCAGCAACACCCTCCACCACTTCTTCATTGATTTCTGCGCAGTAAAATGTGTACAAAGTTTGGTTGCTGTTTGGTTTTGGTATACAATTTGGTAGCGACTTACCTGCTGTGTCTTCCTCATCCATTTAATCTGTTTGGGTGTGGGAGTTGCGAGTTGAAGCTGTAATTTTCGTTTATTTTGTCATTTATTTATTGGACATTTGATTATCGATAGTTAGTAAAATGCAACTCTGTTGACCAGTGTTGAAAACTCACTAATTTTTAAATAAAAGTTATGGGGACTCGAGAAAGTGATTTTTATTGATTCTGAACTACATATTACACTCTAATAGGGAAACGCACTGGGAAACACCTTTCGTGTGAGAGATGGGAATTTTTGCTACAATTTAAATTTATGGTTGATTTGGTACTGTTGTCATTAATTCTTATTATTCGATTCATAATCCGTTTCAGGAGTCCCCACAGCGCCCCCCACATCAACAGCTGTTCCGGTCCAACGACTTGCTTATATATAAACGATCGACGCCAAAAGTTGCGCGCACAGTTATTGAATCCACAAAAGGCGAAAGTCGCGACTTGTTCTGCTTATCGTTATCTTGTAAAGGCCGACCATAGCGACCTGTTTTACATAGCCATAAATCACAAATAAACATCGCACAGAATGATCAAGACGAGACTTTTGCTGCTCTGCGCCGTATCGGCGTTTCTCGTGAGCATCACCCAGGCACAAATAGCCTTCGTGGAGGATGCGGACATTGATATGAAGAAAGTTAACTTGGCGGTAAGCTGCGAGAGAGAGAGAGAGAGGAACCCGAGCTTTGTCCCTGCTCTGCTTTGATAAGGCAACAAAAAGTACAAAAAGTGAAAGCTAAATTTCGGGAATGCCGAATTTTGTATGCCCTGAAGGCGGAAATTTATTTGCTAAACTTGAAAGATGGCGCCAAAAAAGCGAGAAATCACATTTAAATAAAAGGTTCGAGTGCATTGAACAAGTTTTTGATGTGCGGACTGGTTTTTTATGGAAATAATATGATTTGTAGGTAGAAAGGCTTCCCAGAAAAGTACTTTCAATGCAGCAATCCAGGAAATTTGAATATCTCACTAATCCACGCTCGTAATCAATGAGCTAACAAGACCAAATCACAACTAGGCTCCCCTTTGAAAGTGTACCAAAAACAGAGCTTTATATTTATATAAAGAATAATAATAATCAATTAATTAATCATTTGTTGCTGCTCTCCCATTTTGTACAGGGTCGCAAGCCGCTCTATTCGCCGGCGCGTTGCCCGAGGCATCAGCTTCTATATCCAGGGGATCAGCAACTCGATTGGGTCTGTGACTGTGCGCCAGGTGAGCATTTGGTGATCAGCATTAAGCGAGCGATGACATAATATGTGTATGGGGTACTTCCCCGTGTCTGCCAGCCACGCTCTACTACCCGGAGACGGACGCCTGCTATCCCGCCTACAGGCAGGGCCCATGCGAACAAGGCCAGATGCTGGTGCTGTACAAGGAGAATGTCATTCCCGAGTGCGTGAGGAATCCCTGCAATACGGACGGACACTTTATGATTCGCGACACCTGCTACGAGTTTGGCAACACCAAGCACGAGGGCAATCCGTGTCCCTTTAAGGAGTACACCTATGTGCTGGGCGTCAACCCAATCAATCTGATGGTGGACTGCGTGAAACTGTCCGTGCAGCTGGAGACGCGCATATCGCTGGACGAAGCCGCTCCACCACCCGAGTACCACATTGAGCTGGCCGAGAAGTGCTCCCGCGGCAGCCGACTGCTGGCCCAGGGCAAGTGCACATAGACCGTGGAGACAAAACGAATCGAATTCAAGAGATTTTTAACTTTAAACCATAACAAATAATAATTCAAACAAAATCTAAGCGGCTTTCGCTTTCTGCCGGTCCGTGGCTGGGTTGGGTTTGGCCTCGTCGAGCAGCTCCTCCGCCCCAATGTCATCCTCCTCGGGCAGCGTCACAACATCCTCATCGTTGACCGTCTCCAGCTTGAGCAGCGCATTCTCCATGGACGCTAGGAAGGAGCTCTCTTGGTACTCTGGCCACTGGCGGAACTGTGTAAAAAGTGTCAGCATCTGACTGGGCCTCAGATCGCCAAATTGCGTGTAAATATTGATGCCCGGATAGTAGTCCCTGTTGCTCATTGTGGTGCTCTGTGTGGTGTACTGCGGCAGCTGCTGCGGCGACTCATCGGGGTAGGTTGGAGTAATCGGCTCAGAGGCATGCGGATTGATGATCAGCCTGGGCCCACAGCCGGGCACCCACTTTCTGCAGCACAAAATACATCAAATGAAGGGCGCTTGGGCGGTAGATTGGTTACAACTCACTCGAGATTGGGTATTATGCGATTCCTTCGGCTCACATAATTCTGTTTGATGAAGAACCAAAGCGCCACGAGGTCTTGCGGTGGGCACAGCTCGTGCAGGTTGCGGCGGGGCACAAATTTAACCAAATACAAGTACTCGGGATTGACGGAACGCACCTTGCCCAGCTTGCTGTTCTTCGTGAGCTTGTATTCGGCCTGCAACGGCAGGAAATCCTCACGCGGCACCTTGGCAATGAATCGATGCTCGAAGAGTATTTGGAACAGCACTGTGGTGGAGCGATAGATGAGGTAACCCACATCATTGTCGCAGGTCAGGTGCTGCAGGAGTGTAAATTGAAGATCGATCATGGACTGTGCTTGATTTTAGTTACTATATAAATAGGCGGAGGCATGGCCAGGATCATTTCACAGCGTCCCATGGTGTAGAGACTCGTCTGAAAGATCAGCGAGTTGATCAGATGCTTGAAGAACGAGTACGAGCCCACGGCGCCAAAGACCAGCATGTTGATGTCTACGAAAATCAAGCATTCCGATTAGGGTTTAGCCCTGCAAGGGGTTTGCTTTCTGTTTACCATCGGTGTAGGGCCGCTGGGGCACATCGTGCAGCAGTTCGGCCACCCGCATGCCGTTGTCCATTTTGTCCATGAAGACCAGCTTCCAAATGTTCACCAGATCCCCTTGGCGCACCTTCACCCGCTCCGGGTACAGTGTGTGCAGCTCGTGCAGCCGTGGCATAAAGTATTCCATGCTCTCGAGCAGAATAATCTTGCGGAACTGCGACTCACGGTCGAGCAGATGCTTGGTGAAGTGACCCACGCCGGGATTCAGTTCCAGTACTGTGTCGCAGCTGGTCTGCTGCAGATGCGGCTCCAGGTACTGGGCGATGCGCTCTGCCGTCTCTGCATTGGCCACATACATGTGCGTGGGAGTCTTCTGTTTCTTGCTGAGCAGCTTATCTGGATACTCGCCGCTGTACCGGGCCAACAAATCGCGCTTTGCCTTGCTGCTGGCGCTGGCGAAACCCCTGGCGAACCTCCAGCTGGATCGCAGTGGCAGCATGGCGGTAACAATTTAATAAACAAAGTCAAAAAAAAATTGTCCCGGCCGGTTTTGTTTACAAGCAACAGTTGGGTCACTGGCGTTATTCAGCACTTACAAGACTTACCCACAACAGCTGTTTGGCTTGTGAAGTTTCCCAACACTCATTGTTTATTGGTTATGTTTACGGGAAGAATTTTCGTTTTAATCGAATTTATTCATATTTTGTGAATTGTTTAATAAAATCAAAGTGCTGCGGTCATGGGGCAGGTAGCTTCGATGATTGCCCGCCGGGCGAATCGCTTCAATGCCGAGAATCGCGCCCACCGCATCATTGAGCGCGAGAAACCCACACCGGCACCCAAATATGAATCCAATCTGAGGGACATGGAACGTACTCTAGAATGTATGCTACTGGGACACTAGTTAGGGCCAATATCTAATCTCCCTTTGCTTGCAGTGGATCCCAAGTTTGTGGACAAGCTCAACCTAAAGGACTCGCACTTGGACACGAGACTAAAAGATGTTTATGTAACGTCCCAGGATCGATTTGTGGGTTAAAGAAAAGGAATAATTTGACCAGTGGGACCCGTTCTGATGCTTGATTTACTTTTTCATAGATTGCACGCGTGCAGGAGCGTCAGGCGGCAGAGGCTGCGGCAGACATCAAAGAGCAGCGACCTCTTCCATTGGAGCGCAAGACGCCGGATGATTTTGAGTATGGCTACAAGGAGCCCAGTCGGATCCTCAGCGGCCGCTGCACACTGCGGCAAGCGCTGAAGTTCATCAACGATCATCAGAACGAACCGGAACTGTGGCCAGCCAAGAAAATAGCCGACGAGTACAAGCTGAAGGAGACGCATGTTGGTACGAACGGAGAGACCTTTCCGCCCACTCTGTGAAATCTTCTTTTCATTCTGTTCATCCACTTTCACAGAGAACATTCTGCACTACTTCAAGACGTTTAATGTGTACATACCCGACCAGAAGTACAAGGACACGCTGCTGACGCAGGCAAAGCAAAAGATAAATCTGCTCAGAGAGAAGCCCACTGTGCCGGACAGTAGTAGTTCATAGTTAGCCTCTACCATAAATAGAAACCAATTCGTTGTTTTAACCCTAGCTACGATTTATTGTGTACACATCAGACCATGGCATTCGGTGGGCATTCGTAGACGTTGAGCGATCTATCCTCGGAGGCGGATATCACCTTATCGTTGCCGGGGCTGTAGCGCACGCTCCACACCTGGTCGCTGTGCTCGTTGAATGTGTGCAGGCACTTGCGCTCGGAGGAGTCCCAAACTTTCACTGTGCGATCGCTGGAGGAGCTGGCAAAGCGCTTGCCATCCTCGGAGAAGGAAACGCATAACACCCAGGAGGCATGGCCCGAGAGTGTGCCCACGACATCAGAGTGCGCGCTGCAAAGGGAGAAGAGTACATTAATTATAATTGCTACAATCCTGTGGCCAGCACTTACACGTCGTAGAGCTTCATGTGTCCATCGTCGGAGCCGGTTAGCAGCATCTGAGAGTTCGGGGAGAAGCACAAACTGCGCACTGGCATGGCATGTCCTTCCAGGGTCTGTGCCACTTTGCCCGCGGCCACATCAAATATGGTTATAATGCCATCAATGGCACCACTGGCAATGTATTTGCCATCGGGACTCTGCAATGCAAAATGGAAAAGTTTCATGGATTGAGCAGTCTTTGGTCCGTGGCTGTGGTTTTCCATACATAAGCAATGCTCAAAGTATATTTGCCATTCTGGGCATCCAGCACCTGCTCCGCCTTGCCCGTCTCCACACTGTACATGGATATCTTGCCATCGTTCAGGCCGGAAATCACGTATTTGTCGCACGGCGAGAAGCCCACGGTCCACAGGTCCACAGGCCCAAAGGTCAGCAAATGTTTCTTGTCGCCAGTCCTGGCATCCCACAGGCACATCGTAGAGTCCAGCGAGCTGCTGGCAATGGCTATGGAAAGAACACATATTAATCTAGCTCTATAAAGTTCTTGCAACACTCACTTTGACCATCGGAACTGACGGCAACGGAGACGACGCCCAGGGCATGCCCCTTCAACGCATGGCGCAGCTTCAGTGTGTTGTCCTCACGAATGTCCCATACTTTCACCAGATCATCGAGACCACCCGTCACAATAAATTCTTTTGGCTTGGGCTCTTTTTTGTCAAAATCAAAGGGATTCTCCTCTTCCGGCTCCGTGGCGGCATCTTTTTCAGCCGGCAGTGGATCTCGGCCCCAGGCACAGCTCCACAGCGAATTCTCATGCGCATTCTCCTCTCTGTGCAACAGCGAGAACTGAAAATGATTGTTGAACAAAAGTTGCACAAGAAAAGCATCACAGGGGACTTACCATTTTAAAATTAAAAAATTATATTAAAGACTTTAATATGCCGTGCAGTGTTACCGCGTAGTTATTGACAAAATATGCCGAATATATCAAATATATCGGTATCTATAAGCTATTGAAATCATGATGCAAGGTGGTCTCACCGGAAAAAACTAGTCCGTTGCATATGCTGTTAATAAGTGCGAGTTAAAGAGTTCTACGTATTAAATGAGAGTGAAATGGATATACAGACCGTTTTATTTATAATTTATTTTATAAGAGTTTACAGCTGAAAGTTGTCGCTGTTTTTGTTATATTCTTTTATTTAAGCCCATAATTTAAAAATAAATTATATATTGCTTGCTGCTAAGACTGCAAGGGAATTTTTTCTCCACACAAGCGGGTAATATTTTGAAAAAAATCAATTATATAAACACCTTTCCATTGCAACACCTTGTTTGCCCATCCTTGCAGCAAACATCGATAGCGCTCTACAACAAAATATCGACAGCCACAGCAGATTCATCGTCGTTCGACCAGCACCAATTCGCTGTTTAAATACAAAAAAAAATAGAACGAACACGACGTGAAATTGTTGCCCGGAAAATCAAAACAAGTGCAAGTGAGTAGTGCAGTTCTCTGCTCTGCAGAAGTGCAATAATGCAATCTGAATTGAATGCAAGTGTCGTTATATAATGCAAATGTTGAATAAAAACGCACCCAAAGTGTGGAAAAAGGAACAGTGCGGACGCTGTCGCCGACAATTTTGATGACCAGCAGCGAAAAACGGACCAACGCGCGTGTTCTTTATTTTAGTTGATTTTTCGTTTCGTTCGTATTTTGTCTGTGTGTCCGGGAGCCGAGCCGCGTGTCTGGAATATATTAATAACATTTATAGTGAAACTTTAAATGTGTGTGTGTTTTGTGTGTCGTCTGTGAGAGTGCGGTGGGGGGCGTATGCGTGTGTGTGCAGCAGCAGCAGCTGAAGAATATTTTATCATTCATAACTTCGTCAAAAAACGAAAAGAAATCCGATGTGATATATTTAAGGCCAGGATTTGCCGCTCCTTCTCTCTCTTACTGTCTGCCGCTGCACACGCACTTCCAATTCTTCCTCTCATGTTCACCCATTTGTGCAATTAACCGGGGAGGAGAATAAGAAGAAAATAATAATAAAACCAGAATTCGCCGCACTTTCTTCCATGTGTTTTATGTGCTGTGCTGTGTTTGTTTTATTGATTCCCATTCGCATCCATATGACCCCCCGCGTGTCTCTCTCCCACAAATCCTGTTTAACTGTTCTCAGAGTCTATCTCTGTCACTCTCTCGATTCGGTTCGGTGTAAACAAGTTTATCTTTAATTTTGTCTCTTCTCATCTTCTCTTCTTGTTTTTGTTGTGGTTATACTACGCGATTGAATTTTAATCGCACATTTCCAACAAAATTTAATTTGCAAATCGCCTGAAAAATAAATCAAATCAAACAGTTTTTAGCTGAATTTGTTTATCATAAAGGTGAGTGAAATCCGATGATAAATATAAATAATTCTAAGCAGATTTACATAACTTAGTTTTATGTAATCAAATGTGTTTTTTATGCAAAATTATTAAGTACAAGCGCTGTGGGTTTCACGTTTAATAGTCCTACTATTTGTTGTATATTCAAGATATTATTTCATGCATTGACTGCATGTTTGTCTGGAAATAACTGCTTGCTAACTGTTTCGCTGAAAGAGAGAGAGAGAGTCTGCCCTTGCGACTGCTCCTTCGAACAGCACTGCTTGCACTTACAGCTGATAAGTAAACTGCTTGCATGAAATATTTAACGGATTTCTACGCCCTGCCATCACTTAGCTACCCATCCAATCCAACATCCAACACCCTCTCGGGCTGTTGCTCTGCCTTAGCCTTCACACATTTGTATGTAAATGGTATTTATGGATAAGAAAAAAACGCTGTCCCCTAAGAGGTGCTCCACACACAACAAACAGCAAAAACGCACTGGAAAAAGAAATGGAATGGGGTAAAAAAACTAGACCATAAAACATAAATGCATTCACGCTGCCTGCTGCCATTAGTGTGAAAACTTTTCACAATATCATGTTGAAAAAAAAGAACGAAAAAACAAATGGAAATCCAGGGCAGGCCAAGAGGGAAAAGCGGGTGTAAAATAAAACAGAAAAAAGCCTAAGCCGATGAGCAACTGTGGACCGTCTTGTGCTTTGTGCCTGCCTGCCTGCCCTCGCGGAATGTGAGCGTCGACGATGACGACAAAAACAAAGTTATTATTCGAGAGCGTAGCGCCTTGATCGAAGAGGTGAGGTGAGAGAGAAGTGAAGTCAAGTGCGGAAAACCGCTGTCTGGGAAAAGCGTGACAAAGTCAAAAGCAAGCCAAAACTAGAGCAATATTTTTTGGGCCAAAAACATCTCCCAACTTCATATGACATCATTGCAGCAGGGGGGAGACGACAATGACAGAGCAAGTTTTGAAGTCTGCCAAAAACGAAAAGAAAAGCCGAGAAAATAAAAGAGAAAAATGCTGTTGAGCCAGCGAAAAGAGTTCGCCAAAGATTTTGATTGCATCAGCCTTGACATTATTTTAGAGAAAAGTGTGGCAGAGGTGAAGGTGGTAAAGGGTGGGGAAAGGAGAGCCACAGGGAATGATAAAAAGTTATGTAAAAGAAAGACACAATTTCGATCCACTATCATGTGCTGGTCCAGGGTTCCATGCCGACCATCCATTCTCCCACTGATAACTGATAAGAAATACTAGAGAATTATTGTACAATAATAAACAGCATTCATTGAACTCTCTCCCTCTGTGGCCACACATTGTAGGGGCATTGCCCAGACATCTACACGCAACAAAGTCGCGAAGATCTCGAGAGTATCTCTAGCAAATGGCAGTGGAAATGTCTCTCCTCTGATCATAGCGGCAGGGGCAAAGAAAATGTCAACTTAAGTACTTTTTGCTTTTGCCGCCTTATATAGACATGGCCAAAGAGGCTTTTAGCCATAGATAAGATAATTATTTCACTGCTATTTTTAAACCATAATTTTCATAAGCCAAAAAAATCCATTCATTTCGTTTTGTAGAATGTAGAGGTTACTCTTCAAAAGTGGAATGAGGGCCACAATAAACGACATTTGTTCCGACATTTGCTTGCCGTAGGCTCTGGCAGAGAAATTGTTGTGAAACATTATCATTAACCATTCGAAGAACAAACAACAAACTAGCTTTGGGTCTGCCTGTGGCTGATGGGTTAATGATTATTGGACAAATGTTTGATTTACGCAAAATATGACAGATAGAAATTATGACTTTATTTGATATTTTGTAAAGATAGTAACCCAAAAACTTGTATATTTAATGATAAACTCACTCCTTTCTCCTACCCTTAATATCAGCTCAATCCAAGCAGCACTTAACCCATCTAAAACTCTGTTGATCTTATACCCTTGCCCTTGCCCCAATGCAAAATGCCATCAAGTCCAGATAGTCTGAGGACAGAGTACAAATGTAAAAGAAATTAATACCCTGCTCTGCCCTGGAAGCACTTGAAAATCGAGTGTTTTTACCCCAAACATTTTTGATATTTGAGCAGCTGTCTCTTACCCTCTGTGCCCTGTCTTTAAGTAATGTTTCGCTGCCTCTGTACCCTCTCCCTGGGTAGTGTTTCTCCTTGTGAACCCCTAAAAAAGGCAAATTGATATCTCATAAACTCCACAACTGATAAAATGTCAAAAAAATTAGATAAAGTTGCGGCCAAGGTTATATATTCACTCCCCTAATCAATCTACAATATATTTTCCATATCTACCATAAAGTGGGACTAGATAATTTAATACTCCTAGTAAAATTAACTTTTATTTCTGCTACTTTTGAAGTCAAAGAGATTGCCGATTATTTTATGTATCTCTTCGATCAATGCCGCAGTTCGTTTTTACAACATTTTGCTTGTTCTTTTTTATCCATTCTGCTTTCTATTTGTTGCTGTCTTACAGACGGTTTTTTTATAGAACCTTTTACTGCCTGCTCACAGCATATACAAATCGGAACCCCTATAAAAAGAAGTTATGCTGATTCAATTTATTACGATATTTTTACCATATTTTAATAAAAACTAAATTTTATAGCTTTAGCTAATGAAATGATCTCCCAGATCTGTTAGAGGATACACAGCTTCAGCCATGAGATGAGGCCTTTCTTTCTTTTCTTTTTCACGCCTTTCACATGCTTTGGCCTCAGTTCCCTACCCCCCAGACTACCCTCTCCAATGTGTGTTTGCTTCATTATTAATCGCATTTTTTACGCCATTTTAATAACATATGAGTACGAGTGCGAGTGATGCTTGTGTGTTTGTGCTGTATGGCCAGTGGGTGAGGCCCGCTTGGGTGAATGGTTGGGGAGGGAGATAGGCCGTTTGGGTGGGGTGGGGGTTAGAGGTGCAAAAGAAGGCGTCAATTAGCTGTCGTCTGGGCCCAAAAAACACTTTCACAATTTATCAAACAAAAAGTAAGAAAGAAAAAAAGAAACATCATCAAAATGTTCAATGTTCAATGGTCGTTTACAATTTTACATCTTTTATGTTGTTGTTGCTTGTTGTCTGAAGTTTTCTTTTATTTTTCTTTTGTGCGGGAGCCTTGTCTACGTAGTTTTATTATTAATTAAAAAAAGACAGTCAGACATGATGATGATGATGACCGTGACCCCCCGAGAGTGGGTCTGAGGTTCGTTTTTTCTTTGTTTTCATTTCTTTTGTGATATTTTACATTTCTCGCTGAAAGTTCGCTGATCTGAATGAATCAGAATTTGTATATAAAACTCATCAGCGATTAGACCACGCCCACTCGAGAGTTGTTGCATTTTTAATTAAAGCCGCCTCCCTCCACAATTTGATGCACATTTTCCAGCCACAGAGTGAGAGGCATTCACTTTGCTCATTCAAATCATTTATTCAGCAGAGGCCCTAGACCTCACCGAGCAGACCGGTTTCCTTCAAGCTCTCTTAATATGATTAAGTTGTTATGCTTCGACAGTGCTCGGATCGTGCATAATTTTAGCTATACATAGCACACATAAGTTTATCAATTTCGTCCCCTAGACTGGAGTGTGTGGTGGGG